CATGAAGTAGGAAAAGGCAATGCCAGGAATTCAGCCTCTGTCTCCATGACTCCAGAGCCTGTGAGCTTGAATGGTGTGAATAAAATCTTTACAGTCTTACATGATTTCTCCAGGTTTATGTTTTAAGAATAAACTTGAGAGGAGCTTCAAACTCAGTATGTCTTTTTGATGACATGAAACAAATTGAGATAGAAGACTGTGTGTGACATGGTTGATACACTTTTTTTTTTTTTCGGTCAGGTTTTCTTTTTTTTTTTTTACTGGTAAGAAGGGTAAACTAAAAATTTCAACTGTACCTACAACAGTCATTGGAAGCCGGAAAGTCAAATATGTTATTTTCTCTCAAGAATACAGAAGGTTCAATGTGATTCCTTCTCCTTTCTCTTTCTCAAGTAAATCTTATACAAATGGATAAAACCAGAGAGGTGGTGAAAAAATTTAAAAAGGAAAAAAAAAAGAAAAAGCCCCAAAGAGGTGGTGGATGAGCACATCTAGCAAAAGGTGTTACCCACCTCCTTGAAGATTCAAGGTCAAGACATAGTTTTAGCATCCTTGCAATTGAGATGGTGTGTTAAGCTTTCTGACTGCAACACCTGAAGTCAAGTCACAAAGTGACTGGCTTTGACTGTCTCTTAAAAACCTTCAGAAAATCCATTTACACCTCTGATGTGAATATATTTCAATGACTTTAGTGGAGATAGAAAAAAAGTGTCAAATCTGAGACACCGAGGTTCAGTCGCACTAAAATACAAACCAGAAGCTCTCCAAATAACAACAAAAACAACAAAACTGTGAATGCACTTCTCTTGGGAGGAGGACTTATAAAAAAAGGCAAAACCGAAGTGAATTATCATTTTTTTTAAATAGAAAAAAATGATCAAAAGGCTTTGCTGCAATCACTATTGTGATCACACAGATACTAAAACTAACATAGGCTTCTGTTGCCAGGATATAAAATGTTGGGCCCTGGAAAAGGTGCTTTTTATTTTTTAATTAAAGGGCAAGAACTCAATTTTCATAGAAGAACAGAATTTCAGTTTTGCAAGGGATCTTAGACGAGACTGGTCCAACTGGACTCGTAAATGGGACTGGTCCAGTCCTCATCTGAAGTGCGACCCTCCTCGGTCTGTCTCCCTTACTTGCTCCTGGTTTGCAGCTGTGATGGCTGCACCTTTGCCAGAGAACCTACAGGGAGACCACTGTTCTTGCTCTCAAGGCTCACAGTGGCCTGGCTGAAGCCCTTTCACAACGAGGGAGCTCGTTCCTATACTGAGCCCAAACCACTTCCACTGCTGCCCTGTCTTCCCCTTGGAGCAGCTTAGGGCACAGCTCACCCCTCCTTTCTTGGGATGGCCTCTTAGCGACTGCTTTTGAATGATGTGCATAAAATCTCTGCGCTCTTCAACTACTTCCTCAGGGCCATAGTCTAAGAGTAATGCTGAAGTGAGCAATTGGGTCCCCCTATGAGTCCTGTCCCGACTGAAAGCCCTCAGGTCCTCCCACTGTTCCTCCTGGTGGGGAGGGGGCAGTTCTGAGCCTTCATTTAGACATAATCGCATCCAAATGAATTGAAGAGTCCACAGCACTTGCTTAATAAAAATTGCCAAAACTTGGAAATAGGGCCAA